GTCCATCAGGGGTTCATCGAAGAATAACTCAAAGCATTCCAGTTCACTAGCATTGTTCCCAAGTGTACATGATGGCTTTATTCCACTTTGTGTTTCATCCAAGTCATGGGGACTGGGAACAAACTCGTCACCGTCCTGCCAATCCCAGATGCGGTCTGCTGGTGGGTTCTGGATATTGTACCGTGGTTGTGGTTGTGCAGGTTGTGGGGTCGGGTGAGGCTGGTTGTTGTTGTTGTGCAGAGTCAGCAGCGTGGGTAGTAGCGTGGCCCGCTGCTGGTGCCACATGGGCCGTGCCACCATCACTATCACCACCACTGCCTGCTCCCTCACTCACATCATTCATACCCATCGTAAAAATATCGTCATCTTCACTATCAGGTCGTGGTGTAGGGCCACGGGATGGGCTCCCAGAGTTTCTCCTTCCCTTTGGAACAGCATATGAAACACTACCAGACCGCATGCTACGTCGTACATACTGCCGCTTCACTGGGGAATATTCACCCTCACTGTCACAACTAGAACTGCTTTCAATGACCTTGAAATCACTATCACATTCACTGCTAACATCTGGGTGTTGTACACAACCAAATGTTTCCTCTTTCGTCCTGGTACAGGCGAACGTGAACGTGAACAAGCCAGCACAGCACCAGAGGTGGAAGGTTGTGGGTCATCTGGGTTTTCATCACTAATTACGTTATCCTGGGCACTCTTTCCGGTCACACTCACTTCAAAACCCTGGAATTCACTGTCACTGACATTTTCATCGCTGTTAGAGCTATCAATTGGGAACAAAAGACCTCCAATCCACCGAGGAGTGAAGAACTTATTATCGAGAGGCATGGTGAAAATGGACTACCAAGATGGCGTTCCCACAATGCACCACTGGGTCCCAGATTTTTTTCACAGGGTGCACACCGACCACTGAGACCCATTCTCCCTCATGTAGGCCTACCAGGCCTTTCCCGACTGATTCGAAGCAGCTAGAATTTATGCGTATAAATACGTCAGAAACAGTGGCGCATAAGACGTATTTATACGGCGTAAACAGTCAAAGGGTTAATTGTTATAAGCTATTGTTGTACCATTTGATGGTGTTACCAAGTTTTCCTGCACAATTTGTTTTAACTATCTCCTGCCAAGGCAGGATGAACCAGGGAAGAAAGCACAATCACCAACATTCACTCAAATCACCATTTTTCCAGAAGTAGAGAGACGGAAATTGAGATACCAGACTAACATCGCCACCTATCCTTCAGAGTACAAGCACTATCCCCTCCCACCTTCAGGAATCAAGTCTGGCTAACTTGTTTCCCTGAATCCCCTTATAAACATTACCTTGCTCACACTCCCACAGCATGTCCATTAAAAACCCCTATCGAACACATTCAAACAAGCATGCTGGATGCTCAAACCCCAAAAACTCAAAGCCTCTTGTACCCCTATTGCCCTTCTACCATCCACCCCAGATTAATACACCCTCTTTGTCAACTTATCCCTGTCCATTCTCTCATTCTTTAACCCTTTCAGGGTCCAGAGGCCAAATTTCAAAGTGTGCACCAGGGTCCAAGAATTTAAAAAAAAAAAAAAGTTTTGCTATTTTTTCTTATGAAATGGTAGAGAATCTTTTTCTGAAGGTAATAAAACAAAAAGTACGAAATTTGATGGAAAATTGACGAAATTATGCTCTTGTGAATTTTGATGTGTCAGCGATATTTACGCATCGGCGATTTTGCCGACATTGACTCCCATTTTAGGCCAATTACATTATTCCAGTTGACCAAATTCTTAGCTATTTCACTAGTATTACATCTATTCTATCTACTGAGCACAAGAAATCGCCAAGTCAACTGTTTCAACTAGAAAATAAAGTGATCGGAAATTGGCAATTTGGCCAATTTAAAGCAGAGTTCAAAATATTCCAATTTCAAAATAGGGTCCAGAATAAACAATGCAGGCATTCCTGGCACTAAATTAACATTTCCTCTGTTCATTAGTTACATTTTCAGGCTTTACAAATGAATTCCATTTTGAGTTTTTATTGACATAATAAATTGTTATTCAAACCAAAAAATAAAAGATTTACTGTTATGCAATATTGTAATAATTTTATAAATAATATCACCACATTTGTGAACATATATTAGACCCACCAGCTGGCGAGTATTAGACATGTGAGGTCATTTGTTTACTCTTGAACATCGGCAAAAATTTAACATTTCCTCTATTTTGAGCTCAGTTTCCAGCCATTTCCAGCACTAAAACCAATCATCAAAATCATCTCTATTTCTGTCATATATCTTCCTTTCTAACAAATGAGACCAAGAAATTGCAAATACAATTATAAAAGACATGAAAAAACACTGCAAAGTCACTGTTTTAATCGAAAATTACGGTCTCAATTTTTTTCTCATTATGCACTGTGTGCTGCTGGATTTGTTTTATGTGGTGCACACATACCACATAGATGTATGCTCTATATCTAGGCCCAAATTTACCTCTCACAGCTTATCAGAGTGAGCTGAGCTCACGGTGTAGATCTACAGTTTGGACCCTCAACTCAAAGCCGCAGAACTATGGCACGGACCCTGAAAGGGTTAATATCCATACATATTCAAACCTAGGTAATAGATTAGTAGACAGCAACTGCCCAGGGAGGTACTACTGTCCTGCCAAGTGAGTGTAAAACGAAAGCCTGTAATTGTTTTACATAATGGTAGGATTGCTGGTGTCCATTTTTCTGTCTCATAAACATGCTAAGTTTCAGGTACGTTTTGCTACTTCTACTTACACTTAGGTCCCACTACACATACATGTACAAGCATATATATACACGCCCCTCTGGGTTTTCTTCTATTTTCTTACTAGTTCTTGTTCTTGTTTATTTCCTCTTACCTCCATGGGGAACTGGAACAGAATTCTTCCTCCGTAAGCCGTGCGTGTTGTAAGAGGCGACTAAAATGCCAGGAGCAAGGGGCTAGTAACCCCTTCTCCTGTATATATTACTAAATGCAAAAGGAGAAGTTTTCGTTTTTCCTTTAGGGCCACCCCGCCTCGGTGGGATACGGCCGGTGTGTTGAAAGAAAGGAAGGCTGGTGTCTTTTTTCTCTCTCCAACGTGCAAGATTTCAGGTATGTCTTGCTCATTCTACTTACACTTGCATGTATAAGCACATATATATATACACACACACACACCCCTCTGGGTTTTCTCTTTTCTTACTAGTGGTTGTTCTTGTTTTCCTCTTATCTCCATGGGTGAGTGGATCAGAATTCTTCCTCCATAAGCCATGCTAATTACTGAAGTTTAAAAGTGAAACTTTCGTTTTTCTTTTTAGGCCACCCTGCTTCGGTGGGATATAGCTGGTTTGATGAAAGAAGAAAGAAGTCCAAACAATAAAAATTCCTCACTTGTTATTACAGTAAACCTTCATAATGCAAGCTTATGTAAAGTGTAAAGTAAAAGGACACAAGTGCAACTAATGTGACATTTTATTGTGGCAACGTTTTGCTCTCCAGGAGCTTTATCAAGCCATTACCAAGCTAATGGCTTGATAAAGCTCCTGGAGAGCAAAACATTGCCACAATAAAATGTCACATTAGTTGAACTTGTGTCCTTTTACTTTACATATTGTCGGTAATTCTAACAACTATATTACATTATGTAAAGTGATTTAGTTACATTTCAAAATGAACAAACAAAAGTTAAGCAACAGAAAAATCTTTATCACATACACCAAAAATATGAACTAAAAATTAAGAACACACAAAATTGGACATAAAGCACAGTAGCTTTTTTGTATCTGCCTCTTGCATGGCCAGGTGGCCCAGCGTTACCTATCTACCAGCCTTCTTTGATGACTCAGCTTAGGCATGCCAAGTGTCTTACCCATGTAACCGACACACCTCTCAATATTTTCCATATTATTATGATGATCTTTTTTGGGAAGTGCTGAACCTGTAGGGAACATACAATACCTGGAAATGGGTAAAATTAAAATTTAATCAAAAAAGTGAAGGGTGCCTTGAATTCCCTGGTTTAGAAGCCCTTCAGTGACACACAGTACCTCTCAAAAAGGGAATGTTTGTGAAGATCCTGCCAGCAACTCCTGATTAATAATGGAAGTTTGTTACATCAAGACTTGTTTGTCTTCCCAATCCTCTCCTGGGTACAGTACACTGCTACTATTACTACTACTAGTAATTTTCTTACAATTTATGAGCTTCAGGAAAGGTAATGCAAATGATAATTTTCTTTCTCACTTACTCTAGTTTACTGTTAAAGAACAAGTTTTATTACCCCTCTGCCTCTCACCATGGTTGAAGATACAATACATCTTCAATATAATGGAATAATAGGGAATGATTGTCCAAGAGTCTGTTTAATCATAATGTTAAAAACAGCAAAGGCTGTACTATAGTACTATATACCTAATATAGTACTACACACACACACACACTTACAACATTAAAAATTAAGGAGTTGAAAGTACAATTTACTCGGCAGACTTTGTCTATTTCAGAATCTGTTATATCGATAGGTGTTACAGTGAAGGTTTAACTGATGTTTGTTATAGCAAGGTTAATTTACTTTATCTAGCTAATCATCCTCCTGGTACAGTATACTAGTATATATGTTTTCTCCAACACTCAGGAGGCTAATCCCAGGAAACATTTTTTTTTTTTTTTTTTGCAATAATTATTTTGTTAAAATACTCATACAGTAAATCTTATATTATACAAAAATTTAAAATTGTTCTTAATCTATTTTGTATGAAATTCAAGTGGATAAAGCACAATATTAAGAATTCTGCCTTTAATAAAAAAAAACCACATTAAACATTTAATTATAGGTTTTAGAAGAATGGCTCCAATAGCTGCCACTAATTAAGCAACACAATTTGTTACCAAAATTTTGAGTAGAGATCAATTTGACCTGCAGGCAGAGTGTGTTGGCGTTTAGTATGCATCTAAAAGAAAAGCCACTAAATGCCAGTATCTCACCCCAGTTGCCATAATGGGTGCTGCCACAGGTCCTAGTTTTCCCGGTAAAGATTTAAACTCCTGAGTATTGGTTTCTAGACTTGATTCAGCATAGTGAAGCGGGTGCGTTGGAAGCGGGAGTCCCCCATCTATAGTTTGGAGTGGAGGTAAAGGAGACTCCGCCCCGACCCCAATGCCCCGAACACCCAGGTCTAGCTGACATTGACGAGTCTGCAAAATAACAAATACTTAAGTTGTTACTGCAAAAAATAATTTAGTAGGGGAGAGAGAGTGATAAATTTTCAAGTGGCTTGGGATACTACCTTATATACTAGTAAACATCGATGGTTATGCAAGGTATGCCAATGTCTAAAAGGAAGATTTCGAAGGGAGTATCATCAAAAGAGTAATACAAGGAGTGAATATAAGTGACTGAAGAAATACTTCCTAACATCCCTTTGACTCATCTAAGTCTTCAGCTTCTAATTGTGACCCCTTGTTTCTGTCCCCCCTCTCTGGAACATCCTGTCTCTGTCCACCTTGTCTATTCCACGCAGTATTTTGTATGTCGTTATCATGTCTTTGCTAACCCTCCTGTCCTCCAGTGTCGTCAGGCCAATTTCCCTTAACCTTTCTTCGTAGGACATTCCCCTTAGCTCTGGAAATAACCTTGTCGCAAACCTTTGCACTTTCTCTAATTTATTGACATGCTTGATCAAGTGCAGGTTCCAAGCAGGCGCTGCATACTCCAGTATGGGCCTGACGTACACAGTGTACAGTGTCTTGAATGATTTCTTACTAAGGTATCGGAACGCTATTCTCAGGTTTGCCAGGTGCCCATATGCTGCAGCAGTTATCTGGTTGATGTGTGCTTCTGGAGACGTGCTCAGTGTTATACTCACCCCAAGATCTTTCTCCTTGAGCGAGGTTTGCAGTCTTTGGCCACCTAGCCATTACTCCATCTGCAGTCTTCTTTGCCCTTCCCCGATCTTCGTGACTTTGCATTTGGCGGGGTTAAATTCGAGAAGCCAGTTGCTGGACCAGGTGTCCAGCCTGTCCAGGTCTCTTTGAAGTCCTACCTGATCCTGATTTAATTCTCCTCATTAACTTCACATAATCTGCGAACCGGGACACTTCTGAGTCTAACCTTTCCATCGTCATTCACATATACCAGAAATAGCACTGGTCCTAGGACCAACCCCTGTGGGACCCCGCTTGTCACAGGTGCCCACTGTGATACCTCATCATGTACCATGACTCACTGTTGCCTCCCTGTCGGGTATTCTCTGATCCATTGCAGTGCCCTTCCTGTTATACGCACCTGATCCTCTAGCTTCTGTACTAATCTCCTGTGAGGAACTGTGTTGAAGTCCTTCTTGCAGTCCAAGAAGATGCAATCAACCTACCCCTCTCTCGTGACTTATTTCTGTTACGTACTTTATCATAAAACTCTAGTAGGTTTGTGACACAGGATTTGTCTTCCATAAATCCATGCTGGTTGGCATTTACACTCCTGTTCCATTCCAGGTGCTCCACCACTCTCTTCCTGATAATCTTCTCCATGACTTTGCATACTATATACGTTAGTGACACTGGTCAATAGTTTAGTGAGTCTTGTCTGTCTCCTTTTTTAAATATGGGTACTACATTTGCCGTCTTCCATACCTCAGGTAATTATCCAGTTTCAAGGGATGTGTTGAAGATTGTGGTTAGTGCCATACACAGCATTTCTGCTCCCTCTCTAAGGACCCACGGGGAGATGCTGCCTGGTCCCATTGCTTTGAGGCAATGTCATCCAACACTTGTTGGTATATTCCTTGTTGGTGTCCCCCTCTGTTCTGTTCACCCAGAGGCCTTCCTGTCTCCACTGCAAATACTTCCTTAAATCTCATGTTGAGCTCCTCACATACCTCTTGATCGTTTCTGGTGAGTTCCCCACCTTCTTTCCTCAGCCTGATCACCTGGTCTTTGACTGTTGTCTTCCTCCTAATGTGGCTATACAGCAGTTTCGGGTCAGACTTGACTTTCGATGCTATGTCGTTTTCGTACTGTTGCTGGGCCTCCCTCCTTATCTGTGCATACTCGTTCCCAGCTCTTCGACTAATCTCTATTTTCCTGGGTCCTTTGCCTCCTGTACCTTTTCCATTCTCTGATGCACTTAGTTTTTGTCTCCCTACACCTTCAGGTAAACAAAGGACTTGCTTTGGTCTTCCCATTATTTCTATTGCCCTTGGGAACAAACCTTTCCTCTGCTTCCTTGAGTTTTGTTGTTACGTATTCCATCATTTCATTTACTTTCCTGCCAATTCTCTGTCCCACTGAACCTCCTGCAGGAAGTTCCTCATACCTGTGTAGTCCCCCCTTTTATAGTTTGGCTTTTCCTATCCAACTCCTGTTACCCTCTCCACTTGTAACTCTAGTATGTACATGTATTCAAAACATTGAACCATGTGATCACTAGCTCCAAGGGGCCTCTCATATGTGATGTTCTCAATGTCTGAACTGCTCAGGGTGAACACAAGGTCCAGTCCTGCTGGCTCATCCTCCCCTCTCTCTCTGGTAGTGTCCTTAACATGCTGATGCATGAAGTTTTCCAGTACCACATCCATCATCTTGGCTCTCCATGTTTCGGGACCCCCGTGTGGCTCCAGGTTTTCCCAGTTCATCTTCCTTGTGGTTGAAATCTCCTATAACCAGTAACTTTGCTCTGCTCGAGTGAGCTCTTCTTGCCACCTCGGCCAGTGTGTCCACCATTGCTCTGCTGTTCTCTTCATATTCCTCTCTTAGCCACTTGCAGTTTTGTGGTGGATTATACATCATTGCAATGACTACCTTATATTCCCTAGACTGAAGTGTACAAGCTATTTAATCCCTTCCTCCAATCTCGTCCATGACTTCCATTTCCTTGTGTGTGTGTGTCGCGCGCGCGCGCGCGCATGCGTGTATGCGCGTGTGTGTTACACAAGACTAGACAATTATGATAAAGCAAAAAACCAGACCTATAAACTCAAAACCTATCAAATAATAAAATGCTGTGAAAAAAAAACTAAGGACAAGATAAAAAATAAAAAATGAGTGCAAGTCCACAATTACTGGCAACAATTCAAGAGTGACAAAGTCAGATAACATAAAAGCTCAAGAATTAAATTTATTGTGGAATTTTTTTTTTTATTTATTACCAAAATATTGAAATCATCAGCAAAATGAAAATTTAGGGCTTTAAACAAGAAATAAAAATCGATAAAAATTCAATGAAAATTATCAAGAAAAATAATAGAGAAACTAATTACATCGGACTCCCGGATATCAACTGGTGTGGTTATCGGCCAAATCGGATTTTGGCCGAAATTCTATCCAGGATTTCGGCCGGCAACTTGAAAATCAGCTGTACTGGATGTGTCCGCCCACCATGCCACGTGCATGAGTCAGTCTGGCTGTCTCTCTTGGTGAGTGAGCAACACTGCGCATTCATCCAAACATTTCGTTATAATCCATTGTTTTCTGTGGTTGTTTATCGAGTGCAATTGGAAAATAAGCCACCATGGGCCGAAAGAAAGTTCCTAGTGCCAGCCCTATGGTAAAGAAAGTGAGAAACAAGACAGCATTCAAGAAAAATTGTAGCAAGTTACGAAAGTGGTGAACGTGTACTTGAGCTTGCCAGGTATGGCAAATCCAAATCAACAATCACTTCTATCCTGGCAAAGAAAGTGGAAATCTAATATGGCAAAAGGGGTAAATATGCTAACAGAACAAAGATCACAAACAATCAAAGATGTGGAGAAGTTACTGTTGGTGTGGGTCAAAAATAAACAGTTTGCAGGATATAGTATTGTGGAGTCGATCATTTGTGAAAAGGCAAGGCAGTTGCATACAGATCTCGTGAATAAAATGCCTGGAATGAGTGCTGATGTTAGTGAATTTAAGGCCAGCAAAGGCTGGTTTGACAGATTTAAGAAGCATAGTGGCATACACAGTGTTGTAAGGCATGGTGAGGCTGCAAGTTCAGACAAAAGTGCGGCTGAAGAATTCGTGTATGAATTCAACAAGTGTTCAATTGTGATGAAACAGGCCTCTTTTGGAAGAAAATGCCAAAGAGGACCTACATCACGCAGGAGGAAAAGGCACTGCCAGGACACAAACCTATGAAGGATAGGCTTACTCTTTTGTTCTGTGGTAATGCAAGTGGGGATTTCAAAGTGAAGCCTTTACTGGTGTCTCACTCTGAAAATCCCAGTGTGTTCAAGAAAAACAATGTCACCAAGAGTAAATTGTGTGTGCTGTGGAAAGCTAATAATAAGGCATGGGTCACAAGGCAAATTTTCACTGACTGGGTCCATGAAGTGTTTGGCCCAAGTGTGAAAAAATACATCCAGGAAAATAAATTGCCACTCAAGTGCCTCCTGGTACTGGACAATGCTCCTGCTCATCCTCCAAACTTGGTAGACCAATTGTCTATGGAGTTTTATAACAGTGAAGTTCTTGCCTCCTAACACCACTCCTCTCATCTAGCCCATGGACCAGCAGGTCATTTCTAACTTCAAGAAAACTCTACACGAAAGTAATGTTTCAAAGGTGCTTTGAAGTGACCTCTGACACTGAATTGACCCTAAGAGAGTTCTGGAGGAATCACTGCAATATCCTCCATTGCATAAACCTCATAGGTAAGGCTTGGCAGGGAATGACTTCCAGGACTTGGAACTCTGCTTGGAGGAAATTGTGGCCAGAATGTGTCTGTGACAAGGATTTTGAAGGGTTTGAGGCTGACCCTGACCCTGTCGACCCTCTGCCTGTTGTGGAATCTATTGTGTCTTTGGGGAAGTCCATGGGGTTGGAGGCGAGTGGCGAGGATGTGGAAGAGTTGGTGGAGAACCACAGGGAAGAGCTAACTACTGAAGAGCTGCAAGACTTTCATCTGCAACAGCAACAGACCACAGCTGAGGAAACTGGTTCAGAGGAGGAGGAAGAGAGAAGGAAGAAGGTGCCTTTTTCAGCGATTAAGGACATTGTGCAAAGTGGAGGGAGGTGCAAACTTTGTGGAGAGATATCACCCTGACCAAGCTGAAACAAGCCATATCTGCAACATGTTCAGTTTTTCAAACCATTCATCACAGACCTCTCTGGACTGTTTCTAATACAATTAAACAAAACAAAGGCAGCTTCACCATCTCTGAAGTCTTAGCAAGAATCCTCCTGAAAACAGTAAATCCTGCTATCACATAGTCTCTCCTGTT